GAATGATGGTTGATTACGACAGATACATTTTTAGTACGTGAATTTATAACCAATTTTCTTATCATTACAATCTTCTCCGGCATTTTTACCATTGGAAAAAGGGAAGAAATTAGCGATGGCTTGATCATCATCTCGAGCTTCTATCAATGCTGTGTATTCCCGACTCGCAATTTCGCCAAGTACGCTGAATCTTCACAGAAAAGAAGATATAAGCTCTTGTACTTCGAAATTTCAAAGACTCGCGAGTCTCTGAAGACAACGCTTGCAATTCAACTCGCGTTTAGCCTGGTTCCGCAGCTTCAACTTTTTTTTCAACTACGGTTTTACCTCAACGTAAGGGAGTAGACAACTCAGTGGTGATTGGCTGTGTTCTCTTTTTTCTCTTCTACTCTTTTGTTTTTATCGAACGTCAGCGGAGGATAAGAATACCGAGGAGAGATAGAGAGAGAGAGAGAGAGAGAGAGAGAGAGAGAGAGAGAGAGAGAGAGAGAGAGAGAGAGAGAGATAAAGAGAGAGAAGAAACACATCTTTTATTCAAACTATCGCGTATCACGAGCGCGAGCAAAATCTTTTCCCTTACTACGAAGAACAGAAATAACGCGCGAAATATTTGGATTTGTCGAACCATCCTAAATTATATTAGATCCTTTTTAATCAGATATAATACCATAGATATTGAACATTCGACGTTTAATTGAAAATGAAATTGCAAATTACTAAAATTAAAATAATATCAGTTTGCAAGGTATTTAAATAGAAATGCACGAGCATAAATTAAATGAAGTTTCATCTTAAGCAGCGTAATTTAAATTTTCAGAAAGCACATTGCATTTACGACTTAGTTTTTATCACTAAAAAAGTTCTCAGAAGTATAACATATATTTATTATCCTATATTTTTTTAAATATTCGCATCTTTACATAAGATGTAAACACGATTGTCATCCGAAATACCCTTTCTCTGTACGAGAGTGAAAAAAAATGGGAAGGCACATCATAAAAAATCTTCATGTACGCTTATGCATAATATCCAAAGACAACACATTGTCGTGCTATGCATAGACGTATACGAAATTTCTGGTATAACATGCGTAATATTCCGAGCCAAAAGTTTGAGATTGCACGATAAACGACTGGACATATGTGTATACATAAATACTAACACTAATTTAACGGACTGAAGTTTATTACTGCTGATTTGTATTGTCGTGAGATTCGCTTCTTTTTTATAAATAAATTACAAGTTTGGATTGTGTAAACTCAAGAGATTTTCGTTTAATTACCGAATTACTGCAAATTCTCGCGCAGTAGTAATCAGAGCTCGAGAGCTTTATTAAAGTTTATTTTCAATGTCCGAAATCTTGGGAGTGAGACGCGAATTTTGAAAATACATCCATTCTACAATCTAAAACGATATCTAGATGCAGTCAAACTTTGAATTACGTTTTTTTTTCCTGAATTTCAGATAACTAATTTGCTTGAATAGAAGCCAAACAAGTTTTCAAGAACATCTTATTCGATATAACTGAAAACGACGTTAACAGTGTCAAAACGTATTTAGCGTTAACTTGTCAAATGAAATTTCCGCGCGTAAAAGTCAAGGATAGTGAAGATAACGAATTAGCGCGTGAATAGCCTGGTGACAAGAAAGGCAAACATAGAGGCCATGAAGTAAATCCTTTCTTAGAAGAAGGGAGAGCTTGCAAGCAAATTGATATAGAATGGATGCTAATGGGCGCGATGACGACGACGACGACGATGCAAACACTCCTCGGGTTCTTACGGGCTTCGTTATTCACATCGCGAACGGCTTTATTATCATAGCTTTATTATGTTTACGCGCACAGGGGAAGTTTACTTTTCTCTTAGAAAGTGCTCGCTGCTTCTCTCTCTCTCTCTCTCTCTCTCTCTCTCTCTCTCTCTCTCTCTCTCTCTCTTTCTCTCACTCATTGATCTTCCTTGTATTTTCTGTATGCGCGCTCGCTCAACTAAAACGGTCCAAAGATGTCACTGCAAAAATTTTGCCTTAGTGGAATAAAAAAACAAGAACTTAATTGGAAATCTGATTTACTTTTTTATTCAAGGTTCTCTTGGTTGAAAGATGAAATAGATATTTTAATTTTTAATTTTAAAAAGAAAATAACTATCTAATCAATAAAAATATTCTTAAAAAAATGTCGGTAAGCCACATAGCTATAACGAGAAAAAGTTTAAATGGAAAAAAAACAACGTACAAAGTTTCGATATTTCGTGATATGGTATGTAGCCGCTTAATTAAAGAGATTTTTTTCGACAAACGACGGCGGTGGTGGCTCGGCCGCTCGTCACTGAGAAATTTTAATTTAGGAAAGTAGGTCGACGATGAATCGATTGACGCAAACCCACGTTGCTTCGTCTTTAATTTTCCGCCGCTGTCTCCGTGTTCTTTCGTCACGATCTGTGAATTTAAGGACTCGCGTAACTCGACCTACTCGATTTTAATTACGAACTAAATGTCAAAAAGATCTACACTGCACTCGGACGTGACTTTCTATTAGAATAATATTCCTCTAGTAGTTCGGACTGAAAGATATTGTTCGTTAGCTAAGTAACTCGCGATAAAATTGAAAAATTAAACCCGAGAGAAAATAGCTTACACCCGTCGAGTTCGCGAACAATCACGAGTAATCAAATAGATCGAATGAATATACGTATCCCAAATGAATGCATCAATCACAGTTGTATTAAATAGCTTTCTATACCGTAAATAAGCTTATAAATCAGTTAATGATGTATGAAAGCATTGGTTATCCGATTAAATCACGCCGCAGATTAATAAGTCATTAAGAGATGATTTTTTCAAGAGCCCTTCGTTTTACTTTTTTTTCTATTCCTCGATTGATTAACTTTGAAACTATTATGTAATGGATTAATGTTTTTACGTTGCACTGATATTGAAAAAACTGGAACATGCCATAAAGATGTGAATTTTGCCATTTGTGATTATCGGTTTAATTCAATAATTCATATAGCAACGAATTATCTAATAAACTTTTATTTGCCATCATTTGATAAAAATAATAGCAAAAACGATGCGTCCATGTAGCCGTAGGAAAAGAAAAACTTAGACTTGACCATTACCGAAGCGTGCACGATGAGTCAACTAATAAAACTTGGTTAAACTAAGAAGCCCATGAGGAATGAGAGAGCGAGGTAAGTTTGTGGCAACGTAAAGCCTCGCGGGAAAACACGTGACTCGAACAGCGGCCACACGTAAACGACCAGTTAGGTAGCTACTTCATGCGCGATTGCGGCAGTTTCACTTTAATCCATACCAAAATTGCTTGACGTGTATAGCTTCTTCTAATAAAACTTGTAATAAATTTCGAATTTGCGAAGTTCAATTCTATAAAGTCAAGGACAATCATAATTTTACCAAGCGTGATTATGTCAGCAATTTCCAATATCGAATAAAACTTGATCGTTTGCCTCGTGTTAAGAACGTTTGACGTTAAGTTATTTAAAAATACGTTATAATTACTCGTTAATAGCAGTTATAACAAGCGAGATAATAAATTGGAAACTATGTTATGTTGTTCTGATTGACATAGAAAGTAAGAAGTCAATATATCAACTATAACAAGTTGCACTGGTCGCAAATACAGTTCTAACACTATGAAAAGGAAGAAGGAAAGATCGATAATCTTGACGCGTGTATTGGTTAACTCATGTAATTGATTCGATTAAGACAGCGCACGTATCGTGTCGAAGATGGCAAAACCGTCGCCAGTAGCAGAGACGCTCGATTTCGCGATGTACCTCGTTATGCCTGAAGGCGAAATCACCTAAAAGCAGATTGACTATATTACCTTGGTGATTTGTTCTGTCATTCGAGTATTTTTGATTGGCACTGTCGTTATATCAGGCACAAGCTTTTTTTCACAAATTTTTTTTATTAAAGTGCACACTTATCTTTTTAGAAAATCAGGTCTGCAGATGACATTTTTCCTTTTTACAATAAAACTTGTAAAACAATCCGAGAGAAACGGAACACGTGTAGTATCAGCAGCCAAGGTGTGTATGAAGTGGCTCCCTCGGGATGTTTAAACTCTTCGTTCAAACGCTCTGGGCGCACGATTATATCGGCTCGATCCCTCGCGGGGCCTGTCCAGACATTTCGGCTAATTTCCAATATAGGGTTGAATGTTCAAGATAAAAAAAGTCTTCTGTTTTAACAACCCGGAAGATGGTCTTTTTATCCAGCTACATTTTTGTTAATTGTAATTAAGCATATGAATTGTGAGTAGAACTCTTCATACACACGTACTCATTACATAAAGTGTAACAGTGTACTTTGCGACCTCCACAGTCGGAACTCACTTTAACCTATGACTGCAACTCGTTCACGCAAAGTGCACTCCGAGGTACCGGAAGATCGTTACGCCAGAGAGGACCCAGCCGTGTCAAATTCCCCATGGATACACACCCACAGATACGTTTACACATGAGTTCACACTCTGGTGCTCGTATACGTGAGCCAGATAGCCAACTGTTTGCGTTTTTTTCGCTCACGCGTGAACTTTCTTCCTGCGGAAGAAGATCGATTAGGAATTTAACTCTAATGAGGGTTAGATTTTGTATAGAGGCTTCACTTTACGATTGATTACTAAAGTACTTGGTTTCTAATATATCTCGGTTGACTGATACGGCAGTGTACTTTGTTTCGACAATCGACCAAAGTGTGTCTGTTGAGAACGGCGACTCACTACTTAACAAAAAGTTAATTTATTTTTTTTTGCTGAAAAACAAATTATTTCGATGCACAAAAAGTAAGAAGAAAAAGCGTCTGCCGCTTAGACAATCCTTCTCAATTAATTAATCTACGAAAGTCAAGTGTCTCGGCCTTAGCTCTGTTATAACGAGGAACAGCGTTGTGAAAGAGAAAACGCATAATTGGAGCTTGCGAGACATATAGCGTGAAGAAGTTGCTCTTACTAATGACGATTTCGTTTTGTTTCGTAGGGGCTGTCGGCGGTGAAGGTGGCGATGAGGACGACAAGGAGAAGGAGGAGGAGGCCGAGAGGGAAAGGCAAGAGGCCATCCGAGAGGCCGAGGAACGACGAAAAGAGAAACATCGCAAGATGGAAGAAGAGCGAGAAAAGATGCGTCAGGAAATCAGGGACAAGGTCAATCTGTTCATTTTTAACTTCTATATATTTTTCTTTCTTAACAACAGAAGAAAAGAAAATTGAAAGAAAGATTTTTTTAACGAACAATAATTATCTGTACTTCTCGTAAACCACTCGAACGTACATCACCCTAGTTTTTGTTTCTTGTTTTCGCCAGTAAAAAGTTCATTTTCCAAAAGAAAATTAAACTTGCAGCGTTATAAATCTCGGGCGGTAAACTCTTTATCCTCAAAAGCTGTAAGCGATCCTTGGGAGCGAACAGGGAATCCCCGACGTTTAACGTTTACGATCGGAGCTTAGGAGACTGCTGGCCAGCTTGCAACGCGATTTCACGCCACTAGGATAGAGATCGCGCTCGCGAACTTTTAGTACCTTTTCTCTTTTACCTCCCCTCTAATACACACGCACACACACCCACCCACCCACACGCACGCGCACACATATGTGCGTGGAAAACCCCTCCTGAACGCGTTCGTTTCCTTCCCTCCCATTCGCTCCCTGGCATTGATCTTTATTATAGCTATTTCGGTGCCACCCTCCTTTGCACATCGTTTTAGATTACACCTCTTCTCATTTTCTTTTCATGTATCGATTTTCTAGGTCGATTATTTCATTCGATTCGGACACGGAATCGCGAGTACTTAAAAAGTAAATTGCAGTAAATTGAAAATAAAACGATCTCTAGTGCGAGATTATCAACCTCATTCATCAGCTATAATATTACATTTTTTTAATGTACGCGAAGTTCTTCAAGATTCGTCAACTACAAAACAGAGAAAAGCGAGCGAGCCTTCATGACATCCACAACGTAATTTTTCAGGTGGGATAAGCAGGCATAAGCCAGAGGAGCTCGTCGACTAGTTTATTTATTATTTTCCCACTACAATTTACTTATAATTTATTTGTGACGTTGAGTCTACTCAGAGATCTCTTTATTTTACCACCGCTTCTCTCGAGAACTAGAAGCCTAATGCCGTTTTCGCTCGTCGCTATGAGGGCACTCCCCTGCCCTTCGGGGGCGTGGTCCGAGAGGCCCAAATCGTCTGTTTAGGTGCGCGCATTCCTCTCCCCGCTCCACTCGTGGCTTGCCGACAGCCACAAATTTTGCCCATATGTAAGCCTGCGCTGGGTGGCCTCCCTCCTGTTGGCCTAATACGGTGTCGCAGCAGACTCGGAAAAGAATCTCCATCCGTAGTAGCACACGGCCCTGATCGCCTCACGGGGCGACCGTGCACATCGTGACGAGTGAAGCTGAGTGAAAACCTAACCTGTTCGGGCTTCCTCAGCGCACGCGATCTTACATATTTTACGTCACCGCTTACTTCTACCTTATTTTCCTTTTCACAATAAGAGCACGATTCGAGCATAGTCACGACAGGTGTCCTTACATATTCCGCTGCTTCTGTGCGTATATATTTTTTGAGAGTTCGCCCGGTATCTTATGACCAATGATTATCGCGCTTTGGGTTTTCCCCAAATTCGTTTGCCCTTTGCCCACATGCAACTTATATGTCCCCCAGACACGCCCCAAACACGTGTGCCGCTCGGCTATCCGCAACAATAATAAACAACCGAATTAACACGATCCCCGACGAAAACTACAACACGTACGGACGCGTCGTAATGCACGTTATGGAAATAGATGACATTTTATTTTTACGAAGACCCTTATTGTTTTTCTCTCTTTCTCTCGGATAACTCATTTAACGCATAGCGAACTTTCTGTATGAATTTTAATTATGTGCGCTCGAATATAAAGTAAACGATGGTTTGCGTCGTTGACATGGCAGCTGTTAGTAAAAACTAAACTAACTAACTTTCTCTCGAGAGGCATTTGGCACAAATGTATAGTTTTCAAACAGCTGACATGTCTGTATATTCAAAGTGAAACGTCATATCACTCACCAAGCAAACAAATCCTCCTCCTCGCCAAATTGAAACGCATAGTACATGAAAAAAAACGCAAAACAGCCGAGGTGATGTACACCGCGAGAAATTGCGAAAGCTTCCATATCACTGAGTCAGTACAACGCTTTAAAATGACCATATATGTCCCGATAAGCCAAGCGAGGTTTATCATAACCGCGGGTTCAGGAGTTCGAGTATTCGGGACCTCACTGAATATTTAAAAAAAAATAATGTAAGATTTACAATAGCACGTTTATTATACAAAATACGAAGAATTATAAAGTCAACTTTGATTAACTTCATCAGACGGTGACTTCGAAGCGCGTTCGCGCTAATGCGTAATCGAATTTGCATCTTAAGTCATTCCATTTTCACACGACATATTCTCGGCGGATGGGTAGGTGCGTGCAAACAAACAAGACGACGCGCGGGCGTCATATAATTTTAAATGTACATGTTGTTGCGCTTGTGGGGCGACAGATGTTTTTATTCTGACGATGAGTTAAAAATATTTTCAGAAAAGAGTGTTTTCCGCGGATAATGTTTACGCGACGCCAGAACTGCTGATACCTATGATACAGCATGAGTCGAAAAAGTTGGCGATATTGATATGAATATTTGTCGTTTAATAGTGAGATTTGAAATTAAAAATTCTGGTGAGTTAGTGTTTAAAGGTATTGTGAAAAAATTCAATCCAAAAATAGCAGTTAGGTTAGACTAAATAACATGAGTATCTGTTAAGTTAAATATGCGATTGAATTAGCAGACGAAGAAAATTAATAATTAATAAATTTAAATCAAACTGAATAAATGCAGATTATGAATATTCGGAAGAAAGCGTATTAAATGTGAATCCTCCTCATCACTTCCTTTTCAAGGAAAATAATAATTTCTCCGTGAATTTTTGTCTCCTATGCCAAACGCACACAACTTTGAAGCGGAAGAGAAAAAGAGACGAAGCGTTTCTTTCATCCCTTGGCCGCGTGACACACATCCGTCTCTTCGAATGTCTCGACACTGCGTCACACAAGTGCTTTACTACTTCAAACGGAATGAAAAATAGCCCGTCGACCCGTATCTCCCCTTTCTCTCTTTTTTTCTTTTTTACAGGTAATTTATTTTCTGACAATTGCTATCCGTTGCGAGTAATTTAAATTAGCGCTAGTGAAAATCGTATGTAAACTGAAAAACACGAGCGTATCCAGCGTAATAATTACGAGTGGCGAGTGTTTGGAGAGAAAAAAGAAAAAAATAGCGACATTTCAATTAAAAGAGTAGAGTGTGCATCCCTGCAACGCTAGCGAGTTATTCGATTACCGAGCTTGCACAAAAGGGAAAAGCCGAAGTTGCTTTACCGAGCCCCAAGGAATTATGCTCGTTAAATTGTAAACGTTACATATTCGCACGCGCGCGCGTGTACACATACGCAATTCGATTGTGCGAAACCGCTGGGCCAAGCTTCCTTCCACGTAATAGAAAAACAAAAGTTTTTTCCTTGTACGGAAATTTTAATAGCAGATGGCATTGAATCGCAAGTGTAGAGACTAAAACGAACATTGGAATTAACGAAAAATGAACGGTTGCGCATTTTTTCCCGTCACAATTTTCGCAGAGTATACTCGCGCGCGTTTTAATATGTTAACAAGCTGAAATTTTATCAAAGTACTCCCCCCCTCCCCCTATTTCTGATACTGCTATTTGTTCTGTGAAATGTGCCAATATCTGATTTTTATATTCTTTAGCGTGAAATTTATATTATTTTTAAGCCAGCCTTTTGTATTCAAAGAGCGGGTTAAAAAAATATTAACGAACGACAACGTAAGAGAAGCCATTAATTAAAAGTCTTTCAATACTGCTTAATTTACTTAAAAGCTCGTAATAATGGAATAAACTCGTGTAAATACACGAGCAAAAAAGTTTCCTTTGGCGCAGACGGAAACATGAAAAATAAAGCAAACATAGAGGCGCATCGATGCCTACTGGATGGAAGATTCTCTCGTTCGTAAGAGACAAAGAGAACGAGCGATCAGAAAAATAATAAAATGGGCTGACGAGAAATTGAAGTCGTCCACACAACATTCTCGTATTAGAGCCTAAGGTCCGCCACGAGTCTAACGCTCCTAAAATCTCGTTCGTCGGAGGTTGTCAGGCAGTTTAAACAAGACATAGTTGTCACGGCTCTAGCGATGCGAACGTGCATAAGTAATAATCGTAAAAGTAATAACAAATAATGAATAACTTGAAGGAAAGTCTGAATTACTCATTCGTAGGGTCACACTGGGACAGCCGCGCAAATTCTCTCGCAGTGATAGGCAGAACTGTTTTTTCGGCTGCGAGGTTTGCTTGCGCGATTGGCGTCGTGCTTGGACCGTGCTGCCTGCTTGCGGCGAAAGCACCCGAGTTACCCCACTGGGGGCGGGGGGGGGGGGGGGGGGGGGGGGGTACCCACCCGAGCTGGCAACTGGGCGAGGGCGCCACAAGTCCTCTACAGCTCTCTTCTCTCTCGCTTGTTTCGCACGAGCTGATCTACATATGTTGGTGTGAGCGAGCGATCGAGTGGCTTTGTTGAACATGTAAAAAAATTGAAACTGAGAACGAACAAAGATAAAACAAATAGTAGAGCGATACAAGCCGATGAAATATAAGGCTTACGTCAAAGAATGCGAGAGACGCGTGTAACGAGTCGACGCTTTTCGATGCGATTGCCGTAAAAAAATAGTGAAAAAAACTATATACACGATATGTTTTGACAAACACGACTTTTGCCATTTTTAAAACAAAAGTCTTTCCTCGTACAAACCACTTTCATTCAGAACTTTGACGAACGGGTCGTTTTTCTCCTTTTCAACCAAACACATACATTCACATACGTACATGCACATACATACCACCACATGGCTCTCGTTATACGCACATGCAGATATAGAAAGTGAGCTGAGTCCTATCAAACGGAACGACTTATTGGATCGGTCGCACGCGCGACTCGAGTGACAATATTCTAAATCCCTTAACAACGTGCGAATGACAACCGATGCGCATATACGTCCTTCGCTGTATATTTTGTTTTTTATACTCTTTTCATTTCTTTT